GGGGGGGGGAGGAGGAGGAGGGGGGAGTACTCTTTATTTCGGAGTGTGAGGCCTGCTTGTTTGAATTTCAGCAAGGGCGCCGTTATTAGAAAAAGTCTGAGAAATATTGGTTTATCGTTGATCAAGTGTGTGAATAGGGGGATATTTAGAAGATAAGAATGAGATCAAATCTGGCGCACGTCTTCCCAACCTCGCATTGTATTAATGTTCTTATTTAAGTACACAGCAAAAAGAACAAAACAAAAAAAAACCACATGATGTTGACATCTAACGTCCTGAATCTTTTGACAGATACAGATTTAATTAATTTTTTTTAAAACATTTTTTTATTTGACACCCTTAAACCATCTCTGTTCAACTCACATCACACATCAATGCTTACCCTCAATCATCCACCTCTGTTTACCACCATCACCCACCTCTGTTTGCTCTCCATCACCCATCTCTTTTTACCCCCATCACCCATCTGTTTACCTCGAAACCCATCTCTGTTTATCTCCATCACCCATCTCTGTTTATCACCATAACTCATCTCTGTTTACCCTCCATCACCCATCTGTTTACCACCATCTCCCATCTCCATGTACTCTCGAGCACATGGTTCAGCGGACCTCCCCTCACACTGCCATGTTCCCCATCTTATCCAGCACAGAAGGCTGTCTGGCAGTCAGCTCCTCCAGGAGCACCTCATCGAACTCGTCTTTGAGGACGTAGAGGGGTGCGAGTCCAGCCCACATCCCGTGGTGAGAAAACCACGGCCACGAAAGAACTGTTGCTGTTGTAGGGTCAGCTGCTTTTGAGTTGATGTCAGTGTGTCGGGTTGGTGTGCTGTCAACGTGTTTGGTTGATGACGTGGTTTACATTTATGGTTGATGATGTCAGTGTGTTGGCTGGTGTGGCGTCAGGTGATTGTTTGTCGTGTGGTCAGATTGCCGCTTAAAACATGCTTTATTTGATCTGTGACTATGATATGTTTCTTGGTTTGTATCTGAGCAAGATTGGAATTAAACCTCATGCAAGATTGGAATTAAACGTCATGTAATCAACATACAAGTGTCTGCAGTTCTTCTTTGTTACCCACATGTCGTCCTACACGTTCTACATCTAAATCAGTGGTTCTTAACGTGGGTTCGATCGAACCCCAGGTGTTCGGTGAGTCAGTCTCAGGGGTTTGGTGGAGGTCAAAGGAAAATCAGGAAAAAAAATCATATTTTATTTTTCCTATTGAGAAGGGTTCGGTGAATGCGCATGTGAAACTGGAGGGGGTTCGGTACCTCCAAAAAGGTTAAGAACCACTGATCTAAATGAATACAATTAAGTTTAAGTATTCTTTTTTTTTAAAAATATTATTTTATTATTTATTTATTTAATTATTTTTCTAGTCTGTTCTTCATTTTAACGTTTAGATATTAAGAAATATATTATGAATAAGTGTTTCTTGAACTGTTGTTTGAAGATGTGGTCTTAAATGGATTGGTGTTGAATGAAATTCCATTTAAGAGGCGTTTAAACAAGATAATGAAGAAGCGTGCTTTCGTCTTCAGAGGAAATCATTTATAATTTATGTTACATTTTATCCAACATGAATTTAGTCTTTTTAAATCCCGTTGAATTAAAGACTAATCTATGTCAACTTATAAGATGTATGATAACTAAAATACGATACATTTGGCTAACTTATCCATATATATATATAATATATAAAGTATATATTTTTTATTATTATTTTAAAATTAGTTCGTGTATTTTTTTGGATTTGTTCCGCGTTCGTTTCTGCATGATCAGGTTGATTTCGGCCAAACTTGGCATACACACCTTTCATTGCCAAGAATGAAATATTTATAATAGTCTCCCCAAAAGGATGTGTTACCATCACGTCTGATATATACTTATAACTAGCATCACTTTAAGAGTTTTGTGTTTTTTGTTTTGTTTAAATTTGTAAAAAATAAGTGGTCCACAGTTAATAACGTATTCGGTCATAAAATATAGAAAACGACAAGTTTCACAACCAATGGACCTCACGGAGTCATAGAATCTTATGGAAAAATCAACACATTTTCCATTTCTTCTTCTTCTTCTATATCTTAAGGGCCCACGATAAATTTATTGATGATTTTGGCTCCTATGCATGTAGATGGGATTTGCAATGTTTCGTTCTTCGGGTTTAACCAGCTGGTACGTTGGGAAACAGAGGGACGGTGATAGTTCATAGACCCCATAAGAGTCAAGAGAGCTATATTCTCTTTGGCAAAATAAAAAAATTATTCAGCTCATCAAGAGTATAGAAACAAAACATGTTTGAATAAAAATTGTGTCATGAAACTATATCACCTATGGACAATCGAAGAGAGCCCAACAGAAATTAAAGAGCACTGATTGATTAGTGGCAGCATTTAATAAAAACGCAGTTTGTTTGCCAACGCAATCTCCCATTGTGTTAGATTTGTTGGCATCATCGTGCTACCATTAGCCCACGCCCATTGGGCCGGAAGTTTGCTTAGGCGCGTGCGCAGAAATAAGAAAAAGAAACACCTAAGGGAGAATACTTAGTTTTTTGTTGGTTTTTTTTTAAAAACTGTATTTGTTTTGAGGTGCACTCACAAGGAGAACTTATCTCCAGCCATAAAAACCTATACTCCTTGTCAAATGTATCGGCTTCTGTTATACTTAAAATGTGAAATTCGCTGTGGTCGACGTAGCCGAGTATATGTACATTAAAACTCTAGTGTCTACACCAGGCCTGCACAACATACGGCCCGCGGGCCGCTTGTGGCCCGCCAGCACCCTCTTTGTGGCCCGCGAAGTAACGAAATATTATTTATTCGAATTATTTTCTTAATAGCTTTTCCCCCTGTCCTATTTTCTTTTGGCCCGCACAAGCTTCCATAAAGTATTACGGCCCACCTTACATTTTGAGTTGTGCAGGCCTGGTCTACAGGGATCTTTAACTGTTACAATGTGCTCCCTCTATTTGGCAGCAACCCAGCTGTGGGGCAGGGGATAGGAGACAGTCGGGCTTTCCCCGGCTTATAAGAATAGGTGACACCGTTCAAATAATCAACAGTGTCGGTGGGCTTCTGCATTAGTGCCATGAACTTATCCTAATGGAGCCCCTGGGAAAGTTTAATATATACCGGTAATTTAGATATCCAATCGACTCGATAGGAACTCTGAGAATTGATTGTGAATTTCCTGGCATTACTGGGGTGGTTATAAAGATTTTCCTATATATATATATATATATATATATATATATATATATATATATATATATATATTACTTTCCAACGAACCCAGGCGGATATTTTTTTTTCTCTTCAGAGTTCTTTTGTGTTATCATATATAGATTTTTATATATATATATATATATATATATATATATATATATATATATATATATATATTACTTTCCAACGAACCCAGGCGGATAATTTTTTTTCCCTTCAGAGTTCTTTCGTGTTATCAAATTACGTGACTTATTGCTCTCCCCCTTTGTAACACCAGTGCCTATTAGCTCTCGCCCAAGATGGACGCCAACCAGGGGTGGACTGGGCCACCCGGACACCGGGAAGATTCCCGATGGGCCGCTAGGACCAGTGATATAATAAAAATAAAAGTCATAAAGATAGGGCCGCTTTTTGTTTTTTTTCCCCGGCCCGCTTTGACTTTTTTCCCCCGTGCCGCTTGAACTCCCCAGTCCACCCCTGACGCCAACCCTTCCCCCCCCCACCAACCACAGCACACCTCAACCGCCCCTCCATCACGTGGTAAACATAAGCATTTGGTTCTTTAATGCCGAAGCCATGTTGCCTCGTCGCTTCATAACCAAATGAGATTTTGTTGGAGAGTGGCGTGGAAAGAAAGAAAGAAAGAACGAAAGAAAAAAAAAGAAAAAAAAAGAAAAAGATAGTAGGTCTAAATATTGATCCCCTTCGTATCGAGTGAATATTCGATCATCGCGCAAACATTAAGATGAAGTCATGTCGCCCCCCCCCCCCCCCCAAGCTTGCTTACCGTTTCAGTCAGTCGTACGGAACGATGGATCTGAGGATTCCAGTTTCAGTCAGTCGATCGCAATCATGGATGTAAGGATTGTTTAAAGTTGAACTCCTGGTAATTTCAGCTTAGCTACAATTCGTTTTCATTCTTTTTGTTGTTGTTGTTGTTTTGTTGTTGCTGTTTTTTTTAAATTTTTTCGTTTCTTTTCCTCTCTCAATCTGTTATTGTTTTTTTTTTGTTTTTTTTTACTGCAAATTTGTGTTAAAATACTGCTAAAATCATGGTGACACGCGTCTTTCTTTTAAAACTATTTTTGAAACAAAATATTTCCAATAAAATGCAGATCTGGCCTCTTTGAGATTTTAAAAGGATTTTTTTTCCAATACTTAAAGTTCACTTAAAGAAATTATACATGTTCATCCGTCTTATGGCGTTAGAAAATGTTGTTAAAAATTAACATGAAAATGTTGTTAAAGATTGAAACGCAAATGGTGCAGATACGCTCAGTTATTATGTTTATTAAGACCCAGAAGTTATGGTCCAAAATATCCGGGATTGGCTTAATTTCTGGACAGGATGGTTTTATTATTTGGTTTAGAAGCGCTTCATTGTTGTCAAGTGAAAAGAATTCAATTATTTTATGTCATATTTCTCACAATACATAGTATTAAAAGTCTTCACACATCTTTACTAATATTTATGTGATGTGTTTCAGCTTTTCAAATTAAACAAATCTCAGTTGAGTCAAGATGGTGGAAAGAGCTTCGATGTGCATCGTCTCCCTTTTCTGTCACGTAGTTATTTCCAATTGCGTTTTTGGGCGCACGGCAAAAATGGCCTCCAATGACATATGTGGTGTGCAGGATAAACTTACCAAGGGCTGTCTTACATTAAAAGACAATGTGTTTAGTCCAATACAGTGCGCCATGCACTGCGTTAGCGATGACAAGTGCGAAGGTTTTGGTGTGGACATAAACATCAAGACTAGATGTTACGTTCAACAGCACTGTCGCGGTCCCGAGCCCTCGTGTCTCGAAGACGACTTCCGGGTCAGATACTTTAAAAGGTGGCCGACCCCCGACGGCTGTTTAAACGGCGGAGCGTGGATCGCCGAGACGGAAACATGCGAATGCTCCAACGGATTCGTGGGACTCCGGTGCGAGAGATACGCCGAGAGCTGCAGGGAGCTGCTGGACAGCGGGTACAAGTACCAAGCTAGGAAGAAGACATTTCTGCTCCCGCCTGGTTTCTCGGCGCCGTTCCAGACCAACTGCGCCCTCCTGGTTCAAGAGATACGCACGGACATCGTGCACCAGAGAGCCGTCTACTACAACACGACCAACAACGCGCGGACGTGGGCAGAGTACGTGGAGGGCTACTACTCACCCGACAACGACAAAACCATGCGGGACTTCTGGCTCGGGCTCGACAAGATCCACTACCTCAACGCGGTGGCGAGGCTCCAGCAGCTGAACATGGTCATCAACCTCGGCTCGGATCTGAACTCCTACACGTTCGTCTACACCGGCGTTGTCGTGGGCGGAGCTGACACCAACTACTCGCTGAGCTACACCGACGTGACGGTGGTCACGAACGACACGAACCCCGACGGAAGATTCCTGAACTGTTTTTCCGGCAACGGGCCAGTGCCGTTCTCGACGCCCGACGCGGACCACGACAGAGATTTAAATCTCAACTGTGCCGCGGAAGCAGGGGCCGGATGGTGGTTCAGTCAATGTGACCCTAACCCAGAGTGCAACCCGCTGGGGTTACATTACGTAACCGGAAATGAGGCGGTCACCCCCAAGCGCATGCGCTTTAACGGCGTCGAAATGCAAAAGCATGCTTACGATTTCACCCTGTTTAGGATGTACTTTTCTGATCCCTATTAGCTATTTATTGTTGGCTGGATGCCAGTATTTGCCGGAGCAAATATTTGTCTAGAAATTGTGGTTATGAATATTGAAAACATGAAGGAGAAAAAAAACTGATTCCAATTCCATTCAGTTTCAGCAATTAAAGCTTGTAATGTGTGTGATCAGTAGTGTTTCATTGGACGGTAACGCTGAAACATTAACTCAAGTTATAACGTTCAAGATGTGCACCATTTTTTAACGATTAAAAACAACTAAAATTAATGAGGTTTACTTCTTTTAACAACAAAAACTCTCTTTTGCTTCTTCTATATTTTGAGGGTCCACGATCAATGCATTGATCATTCTGGTAAGGTACAAAAAAAAATCCTCATCTTGTTCGCCTTTTCCACGACAATCTTTACCGACACCTGGTGTAAATTAATTTCAAATGATTCGGTTATTAAAGAATTATTATAGTTACTGTTGCGTTTTTTTTAAAGTTTTTATTGAAGAATTTTGGTTAATGTGCCCAGTAGTTCTGAAAAAAAGGCCATTTGAACTTAGGTCCAGTAGTTCTGAAAAATGCCATTTGATCTTGTGTCCAGTAGTTCTGAAAAAAGGCCACTTGATCGTATGTCCAGTAGTTCTGAAAAATGCCATTTGATCTTGTGTCCAGTAGTTCTGAAAAATGCCATTTGATCTTGTGTCCAATAGTTCTGAAAAATGCCATTTGATCTTGTGTCCAATAGTTCGAAAATTGCCATTTTCTCTGGTGTCAGTCGTTTTGAAAAAGTTCATTTGATCTTGTGTCCAAAGTTGTATAAATCAATTTACTAAACCATTAAATATGCACATAATATTAATATGTTAAAAGCCACTAAAGAGAACATAACAAACCATTATGGCAGAGTTGGATATGAACTCCACTTTAACATTTCCCCCCCCCCCAAAAGCACAGCCTATCTTGCTACATCCCAAAACATCTCTACCACTGCAACCCAACAAAATATATCCCACTACATCCCAACACCATCTATCCAAATCCAGTCCAACACCATCTATCTTACTACATTCCAAAACATCTTTACCACTGCAACCCAGCACCATCTATCCCACTAGAGCCCTGTACCACTTATCCCACTACACCCCGGTACCATCTATCCCACTACAATCAAACACCATCTGTTTTATTCCAGCCCGACACCACCTATCCCACAACAGCCCTTTACCACTTATCCCACTACAGTCCTGTACCACTTATCCCATTAAATCCCAGCACCATTTATTTCCATTGTCGCCAAGCACCATCTAACACCACCCCATCCCCTAAAAATATCCAGCCTCTCCTTTCCTCACCCAACAGTTTCATCATGAACTCATAAATCAACAGCATATCAATATTCATTTTTTTTAGGCTAGGTGTACTTTAAAAAAAAATAATAAAAACGATATCAACCTGCCAATGTGTCGATGAAAAGCAATTGATTGCATGTCACAACCAGATACTGCCATTAGCCAAATCCCTTGCCTTGAGATATCAACATGACCATAAATCTACCAGTGTGCCGTGTAAACGGTCGATGGTGAATGTCGTAAGAAACGAATTCCCTTTCTATGTCACCCTATTTTATTGCACAATTGTATTATAGTTTACAGGTTTGACTTCTAGTTGATCAAGCTAACAGTGGGTGGAAAGGGGGGAGGGGGCGTTGGTTGATTACTCACACTCACCTGGCTCGTTGATTGTTGCCAGGTCGATTCCCGGTTTAGATTTTTAGTTTCTAGTATTTCTGTCTATACAGTTGTTGTTTTTTTTAATGTATACGGTATAAAGTTCGTCACACCTTTATTTATTTAGGCATTTTTATATAGCGCTTTACAATTATTAAAAACATGTAAACTAACTAAAATCCCATTAGGGTCGTACCGAGAGGTAGCGGCGAACCGGGGCAAAGCCTGAGATTGGCCGCCATCAATGTGCGGAGAAAAGTCCCCGAACAAGTAAAAATACGATTTTTGCCACTTGCCTTAGTGACGTACATGGGATTTTAGCGTTCTATTCCCTGTTGGGGTGTTATTTTTGGTGTCTGGGACGAGTGGCCACTTGGCACGCCTATGAGAACAGATTAACCCCCAGCCCCAAATAATATATATATATAGGCCCTATATATATATATATATATATATATATATATATATATATATAATATATATATATATATATATATATATATATATATATATATATATATATATATATATATATATATATATATAAATATGTGTGTGTGTATATATATATATATATATATATATATATATATATATATAATATATGCCAATTTGTGTGTGTATATATATATATATATATATAAATGATGCCAAAATCGAGTGTCAGATATTGTAGGGGAACTTGATATGTTCGTTATTTGAATAGATTGTTTCTAGGCCACAACTACTCCGCTAAGAATGATGAAAGGCCAAGTGGTTTTCATGTGGGTGTGTGTATGTTTGTGTGTTTGTGACCCCGTCAATGCTTCTCCAGCTTTGGGGCCAAGTTAATGCTGACATTGACATCAATAAATATCGTGGCAGTGTCACCGACTAACTTGAAATGGCCTGATGAGAAGTCATTCCAGATTGTCTCGTACTGAATGAACTAAGACATGAATGTTATTACATTTGTTCGGGGTAGACGAGCTTAACACTGCGACCGAGTCTTGCGGGAATGGCGTTCCAGTACATTTTTTTTTTATTTCCTAAGAAATACATGCATATTTATTTTGGGAGGGGTGATCTTGGCTGCGTCCCCACAACAAAACACTCTGGTTATAGCTTGTGTTTTCACAGAAACCCTGTCATGGACAATGGAGATGACCAGACAGACTTATGTTCAGCAGCGTACCTTAAATTAATTCCGCCATAGGTGCGCCCTTTAGCACACATTATGAATATAATGTTATATATAAACCAAGAAGTGCCACCAGGGACAGTCTCCCCCCCCCCTCCCCCCGGCCCTAACAAATAAAAGTAATAATTTTAATAGGAAATTCGTGCTGCTGCTATTTGAAGTATTTGAAGAAGAAGAAAAAGGGGCGGGGTGGGTTTAAAGAACAGTATTCTGTCAACATGTCTTGGTATGCAACTATTTTAAGTTGGTGGTGTGCAACTCATTTAGGGTCATGGGCGTACCAATCGTTGTTGTAATTGTACTAACAGTGTGCACCTTTTTCTTTTTGTGTACCAATGGTGTGCAACTATATTTTTGCCATTGGTGTGCAACTAATTCTGTACCAATAATGTGTAACTATTTTGTACCAATGGTGTGCAACTATTTCTGTACCAAAGGTGTGCAACTATTTTTGGGGTCATTAGTGTGCAAACTATTTGTATATAAATTTACTCAAGAATTTAAAAAAGTAGATGATATCCTATGTTCAAAACAATTTATTTTATTTGACCATGGCCATACTTTACAAGTAAGAATTTTTAAAATTGTTAGTTTTATTTCAATTATTTTCACATATCTGACTTACATAAGTTAAAGAATACTAATTACAAATGTATATTAAAAAAAAACTAATGTTTTCAACAGACAAGTCTAAATTCAAGTGTAAATATATAAGTCCAAAATCTTGTTATTAAAGACCAGGGTAAAAATAAATCATTATTAATGGTAAATTTAAGTACATACAAGTATGTGTATAATTTAATTAACATAAAATTTAGTTTGAAAGTTTGAATCGATTTTCCATTTGTTCTTCAAATTTTGTTCTGGATCCCATGTCATCAGACCTGTTTACTCTTACGATTTTGGCGTACAATGTACGATTTTGAGGTGTATAGATTGTATATACTGTATGTTTTTTTTACTATGAATATAACGTATTAAATGACTTTGTGATGATATTGTACGATTTTAAGAGTTTGAGGGTAAACAGGTCTGTGTCATTATGAGGCTGAAACAGTATAACTTCTAATACTAGTAGCCTGTATGTATAGTTTTACCATTGTGACTGTCCTGAAAAATGCCCAGGAGAACGATTAGAGCAATACTTAGTACTTTGATGACAGGTCCAGAACTGATTTTTGAGTATTTCTACTCTATGTGATGTATAGCACTTAGTACTTCCATACTATGGATTGTCCAGCCCTCAGTACGTCTTGGATACGTCATGGCGGAGCAAAGCTTCTTTACTGTCAGTCTGGGTGTTGGGTTCCCTTCAATGGACAAGCATGCATCTTATCACACGTTGTGATCCGTGTCTCTCCCACCACCCACACCAACTGAGTCACATCATATAAATATAAGGCTAACCCTAACCACCCAGACTGAGTCACATCATATAAGGTCCACTCTAACCACCCAGGCTGAGTCACATGATATAAGGCTAACCATAACCACCCAGACTGAGTCACATCATATAAGGCCCACTCTAACCACCCAGGCTGAGTCACATGATATAAGGCTAACCCTAACCACCCAGACTGAGTCACATGATAAAAGGCTAGCCCTAACCACCCAGACTGAGTCACATCATATAAATATAAGGCTAGCCCTAACCACCCAGAATGAGTCACATGATAAAAGGCTAGCCCTAACCACCCAGACTGAGTCACATCATATAAATATAAGGCTAGCCCTAACCACGCAGACTGAGTCACATGATATAAGGCTAGCCCTAACCACCCAGACTGAGTCACATGATATAAGGCTAACCCTAACCACCCAGACTGAGTCACATGATATAAGGCTAACCCTAGCCACCCAGACTGACTCACATGAAATAAATATAAGGCTCACCCTAACCACACACACTGAGTCACATGATATAAGGTTAACCCTAAACACCCACACTAACTGAATCACATGATATAAGGTTAACCCTAATCCTAACCACCCACACTAACTGAATCACATGATATAAGGTTAACCCTAATCCTAACCACTCACACTAACTGAATCACATGATATAAGGTTAACTCTAAACACCCACAGTAACTGAATCACATGATATAAGGTTAACCCTAACCACCCACACTAACTGAATCACATGATATAAAGTTAACCCTAACCACCCACACTAACCAAATCACATGATATAAGGTTAACCCTAATCCTAACCACCCACAATAACTGAATCACATGATATAAGATTAACCCTAACCACCCACACTAACTGAATCACATGATATAAGGTTAACCCTAACCACCCACACATTAAGAGGTCACATGATATAATACAAACCATAAAACTACCATAAACAATTTTTTTTTTCATTGTAAATGCATTTTTTAAACTCAAACATTTTAGTTTTAAACTACAAAAATAACTCAGACATTGGTAACATAAATTTTAACCCTGTTCAATTAGTCATTGCACAATTTAAATATAAAAACGTGCATTAATTAATGGAGACAATAAAATAATGCTGTTTTTTTTTTTTTTCTAAATGCAAGAGGACAGCAATGAAATAAACAATAA